ATATAACCTTGTCAAATTAACTAAACTTCTAGCAAAAATAGTGCTATGGATCATATAGAATGAATCATGATTTTAATGGGTTCTGGAATATCATCCTAAAGTGGAAAGGATGTTGGAGACAGTTTAACATTGATCTTAGAGGGGATTGTGCATTAGATACTATTTCTGATAGATGTTTGTAGAAATTATGCAAGTTAACTCAGCTTCCTTATATTAAGAGATGACAGATTTGATGGGTGATGTGAAAGCCTACCATGCTTACAAACATAATTTTAAAGATTATCGCATTACTTCTTCATAAAGAAAGTTCTTACTGGCGGTGGTTGCTTTTGAGTGGATTCTGACTCTTAGAAACCTCACATGTGTGGGATAAAACCACTCCATCAAATTTGAAATTTCACAGTGATCTTAAAGTCATAAACATTTAGAAGCCCCCTAGTCCCATATCTAAGAGGAACTGGGTCAATATGGAGGACTTTGGACTAATCTGATTTTTGTCATCAATCTAAACAAGATAGAAATTGATATACCAGCTGCAAATCCTTGCAAAATCTGTATGTAGCTTTGGAGGAAATGCAGGCCAATAAAGCTAGCCAGATACTAAAGTTAGGCTTACAACCTCTATCGAGCTACAGCACCCCTCCTTCAACATGGCTCACATAAATATACTCAAGCTATCTCAAGCTCAAGGGAAGAAAGAGCAATGTAAACAAAGTACAAGTAGAGATCAGAAGAGTGGATGTGGGGGTGGGGGGAACATTGACAAGTTGTGATGAATGTTGTTGTTAAGTGCCATTGAGTCTGTTCTGACTCTTAGTTACCCTGTATAGACTGTCTTTAGAGCAATTGGTGGAGTGGAACTGTAGTGGATTTGAACTTTGTGCTTCCCAATTCAGTGTTGACCCTACAGCACCATACCAGGAATCTATTGTGATAAATAATGGTGTATAAATTATTAGAATTGCTTTGTTTTTTTAAACAACTGATTTCTTTTGTACTTTCCGTGATTAAGCCTGTCTGAGATTTTAAAATATGTAAGAAAACATATATCTAAGTCTCTGAGCTCATTTGTCTTTCATACTGATTGTATGGTGTGGAAGTAATTCAAATGTTAATGGATAATTTAGATAATCATACTGAGATAAGTGAATTTAAGGTACTCTGAGTGGATGAGACCCTAGTATGACTGGTAGATAGCCAGCAATTCAATTACCAATGTTAATTTGATTAAAAAGAGCAGAGTAATGGTGGTGGTTATGTGCCCTGGAGTCAGTTTGACTCATAGCAAACTGAGTTTTCTGAGGCTGTAAATCTTTACAGGAGCAGAAAGCCTCATCTTTCTTCTGCGAAGTTGCCGGTAGATTCAAACTGCTGACCTTGAGGTTAACAACACAACAGATAACCCACTATGCTACCAGGGCTCTTTAAAAAGAAAAGAATGAGAAGTCAAAAAATACAAACAAATAAAAATAAAAATAATACAAACAGAAATAAGTAAGTATTGTTGGACAGCAGAATTTTCAAATGGATACCATATATGGTTAGACAACCTCATAATAACAATTTTTTGAATTAATTTTTTTCTCCCTGCACTTCTTTGTATATGATTTTTCCTCCCATTTTCTAAACTCATTCACACTGTCCTATTTAGAATTAGGATTTATTGATTCAGAGAAAGAAAAGAAAAAAATAGAATATTCAGGATGTTTAACTTCTATGTCACTGTGGAGTCCTGTGTGATGCTGAATGATAAGCACTCAGCCACAAAGTCATTTGAACATTAAGGTTGGGGGTTCTAACTCACCAGCCAGTTTCTCAAAAATCATGTAAGAGTCTCAACGGATTGGAACTGACTCAACGGCACTTAGAAACAACAACAGTCGCTGTTCCAAAAAGAAATCGTCTCAGTGTTCAACTATTCAGCTTGAGGAATGCTGAGTGTGTTCTTCCCTTTGGGTTTTCAAATCCAGATCTTTGTACATTTCATTGTAATATTTCAGACAGCATTAGTTCAAGATGGTGGTCCTGACTCATAGCAACACTGTGTAGAGTTTCCAAGGCTGTAAACCTTTAAGGGAGCAGAAATCCTCTTCTTTTTCCCATGGAATACATGGTAGTTTTAAAGTTCTGACCTTGAGATTAGCAGCCTGACTCATAAACCAGAGCTCCTTATACTTCATGATAGATTTTGAAATATTCTTTTAGTGATGAATGTAACAATATTCCTCTTTACTTTGTCATTTATGGCATAATAAACCATGTGATTGTTAGAGTCAAAATGGTCAATACTAGTCCATTTCAGCTCACTAATGCCTAGGATATTGATATTTATGTGTTCTGTTTAATTTTTGACAATTTCCAATTTTCCAAGATTCATAAATACTTTGTACATTCCATGTTCTGATTATTAATGTATATTTGCAGCCGTTTCTCCTCATTTTGAGTTGTGACCCATCAGCAAATGAAGGTCCCAAAGCCTTACTCCATTTGCAACAGCACTGTCAACTCTACTTTATTGAGATAACACATCCCCAGTTGTATTTTGTGTGCCATTCAGCCTGAGAGGCTCATCTTCTGGCACTATACCAGATAATATTCTGGTGCTCTTCATCATGTTTCAGTATTCAATATCCTGGTGTTATCTAACAATATCTCACTGCTATTCAGTTATTCATGATGTTTTACATGGCCAAACATTCACAAGTAGTCTGCCTGTCCTTCAGAGTTTGTCTAAGTCTGGGAAGCTCAACTGAAGCCTGTCCACCGTGAGTGATCTGTTGACATTCAAAATACCAGTGACATAGCTTCCAGCATTATAGTAGCATGCAAGCCACCACAGTGCGACAAACTGAGAGATGAGTGGTGGTCTTATTGAATTAGCAGATGGTTTATTGGGACAATGTTAGACTCTCATCCTTTAGAGTCCCTTAGGCAGTTTTCACAATAAAAAAGAGACAATCACATGCTGTTTTGAGTCTGTCAGGGTTTAGTGATTGAGCTTAACATTTGGTGATCACCACAAGCCTTGTAGATTATCCAGTGGTTTCTGCCACAGCTTTCTGCCAAATGTCACATGTTCCTCTGCTGGGTCTTCAAAGTCTTCCTGACCACCTAAAGGTGAGAGAACACTAAGCTAGATCTCTAACGACCCTCAGAATCTTGGCCAAACTGGCAAGGGGCACTTTCTGTTCAGTAAGGAAATGGGAATGGCACTTCTGAAAGTGTGTAACTCAGCTTTGTGGAGATAGCTTTTCCGCAACATTTTTTATTTTTTGTATACAAGCTATATTCTTCTCAAGTAACACTTTCCAGAATTTGCATTGCAGGAAGGTAGCACCACCACCAAATCCTCTCCCTACAATAAGATAAGATCACCATTAAAATCTCCACATCTCCTAAAAGACAGTGAATCTTTCTATATATATATATGAAGGAGGCTATGAAAGGAAGAGTCCTGCCATTTAAAACAGTTGATCACACTTTTCATATGACTTTTGGGAATTGTGGCAGTAGACCATAGGGAACTGTAGAGTGGAGGCCCCACATAAAATAATTCAAATTAATATTTTTTTGAAAAGGAAAAAAAAAATGTGTTGGTCGACAAAACAAATCTACATGCTTTATTCAAACTATAGGACACAATTTGCTGATCCCTGCAAAGTGAACTCAAAAAAGAGAGTTTAGTGAGAAATGATTTGACTTGCATTTTACAAGTGAAGTTGATTCTGTTTGCTATGAAGGCAATGAATTGGTCTTGCTGCACACTACCCCTTTAAAGTGTTCAAGAGCAAAGATATTAGTTTGAGGACTAAGGTGAGCCTGATCCAAGCCATGGCATTTTCAATACGCTCAAATATATATGAAAGCTGAACAATGAATACAGAAGACCATAGAAGAATTTCAGTTATTACATTGGAGAAGAATGTTGAAAGTACCATGGATTGCCAGAAGAACAAAAACATTTCTATTAGAAGTATACCCAGAATGCTCCTTAGAAGCAATACAGTGAGCTTTTGTCTCTCGTACTTCAGACATGTCCCTGGAGAAGTATATCAAGTTTGATAAAGTGGAGAGTCAGTGAAAACGAGGAAGACTGCCAATGAGATGTATGGGCATAGTGGCTGCAGCTATAGACTTAAACAGCAAAAGTTGTGAAGATAGCACAGGACTCTGCATTGCTTTATTCTGTTGTGAATAGGGTCACTGAGATTTGGAATTGACTCTTGGCACCTAACAACAGTAACAGTACAAATTAGAAGGCTCTTGTGACGTAAAAATTATATTGGTTTGGAATAAATTGAAAGCAGACAGGGAGAAGAGTTAGATGGATTGGAGACATATACTATAGAGGTAGAATTGTTTATTTATATAAACTCCTTCAATTTATTTAAAAGAAATGTAGCAATCTCTTTTCTTCCCTCTGACTTCAGTTACTTGATTCTCATATTATTTTTATTTACCTTCATTGTCTAATATTAGCTGCATCAGTTCATACTCCATCACTAAGGGATGTTGGCATGTTGCCAATTGGGCAGGGCCACAGTGAGTTTCAGTTTCCTTTCTCTGAGTTTCTGAAGCTCCAAACTGAGAAAAAATTTTGCTTACATTTTATGCCTGCCTTGTTATCGGATAGACCAGCTACCCTCAGCTCCAATCCTTACACAGATTCTACAAACAGGTAAATGGCTTGTTGCTTTCCACTGTATCCTAGTTACTTGTTTGTTTTTTTAAACAAAAGTTTAGAATGAAAAACTGGTTAATGTTTGTCTTTTTTTTTTTTTTTTCTGCTAACCTTGTTTGCTCATTTCAAGTGAAATAGAATAAATAGTAAATGTAAATGCAAATTTTGCAATATCACATCATCTGTTTTCAGTATTAATAGAAAATACCCTTTATTTCCTACTAGATTGACAATCATGGCAGTGACAACTGAGTTGACTTGGATGCAAGAGAAGTGTCTGCAAAATTGCTTTGAAGGAAAGCAGTCCAGCCTTCTTTATAAGGCTAGTGTCCATGGATTCTTTAGCAAATATTTGCTTATTAGATGTCAAAAACAAGGACCTACTCTAATAGTGATTTATAGCATAGGTTATGTTATTGTGGCATATCTACAAGAGAATTATTTGAAGGAAAACAAAGGTTCTGTCAATTTTCTTGTATTTCAAAGAAATGAAACTTCCAGAATTTAGATAAGAAAGGTTAACACATATACTAGCAGCCGTATGGTACTTGACGAAGATAATGATGATAATATATTATACTACGGAAACTATCATCTACAAATAGATCTAAAGAAGAAAAACATAACTGTGGATCCCTCTATGATTGAACAAATTGGACTACCTAAATCTTGCATTTCTTTTCAGGAATGTGAGGTTTTTCGATGTGAAGGTAGGTTTAATCAGATAATCCTATATAGTTTCTTTTGCATGTTTTTGGGTTTGAGTGGATCCTTTTCTTTCTTTCTTTCTTTTTTTTTTTAAAGTGGTTTAAAATATAACTGCCTTTTATTTTTCTTGGTCTTTAAAGTGACTGTATCTCCATATGCTCCAGACAGAAGCCTGGTAATAAATTGTTTGTTAGGACACCATGGTAGAAACAAAATACACAGAGTTTTCGGCCTTGTGTGTGGGGGTGGGTTGGTGGGGGTTGGAGAGGGAAAGAAAAGGGTGATAGGGAAGGGAGTGATAGAAAAAGGGATGGTGGGAGGAAGAGAGAGAGAGAAGAAAGAGAAGAGATGTGTATGAGTGTGTGTGTGTGTGTGTGTGTGTGTGTGTGTGTGTGTGTAAGAAAGAGAGAGAGGAAGAAACTTGAAGAGTTTGAGGCTATTTGGAAAGAAATTAGAGGTTGAACTTGTCTTAACTGAACTGAATACCTGCAACTGCAGTTTCCCATTTTATCAAAAAAAAAAAAAAAAAAACAACCCAGCTGTCTTACTTTTCTACTAAATGACATTTATTTTTATTCTAATATTTGCTATTAAAAACAAAGCTCCTCTAATATTTTATGCATATAATTTTGTGCACAACAATACTTCTTTAGAGAAACTTCCTTGAAATGCAATTGCTTTTTAAAGATTATGTATGCTTGCATTTTGATACACACTTTTTAAAAACTTCGGCTGTCCATACAATCCCCAGCAGTGCTATGGAGATGCCCATTTCCCTGTATCCTTGACAATCTTTGAAGCATACTTTTTTGCATATTTTCTAATTGTATGGTCATAGATGGTTTTTCATTTTATTTTTTGCTTATCATCGATAGCAAGCAAATCTGTGTATTTGTCATTTGCACTTCCTTTTCTATGAAATACTTGTTTATATTTACCCATTTCAAATAGGGGTTTTGGAGAACAATATTCCTTCCTTGAGTATGTGTATGTTACAAATTGTTTGTCTCTGAACCTTACATTATCAGAGAGCATAATCCTTGCATCACCTTTTATTTCTTGGGATTTTATAAAATTTCTACAGCATTGATGTTGTAATGAAAAATCTAGCATCAGATTTAATTATTATTATTGTTTTATCCCTTTGTGAATGATTTGATCTTATTTCAAGGTGGCCTAAAACATGTCTATTCAAAGTTTACAGTTGACGTCTAATAAATTAATTATATCACAATGCTGGTTATCTATACTTCTTTTATATCAGATACCTTTGTCATTATTTTCCCATACTTTTAAATATTTGTTCATTCTGCTGCATATTTAATTGTTTGTTCATTGGACCTAATCATGAGTTTGTTGAATATTATCTACCTTCCACAACTCATATTTCTCTCTCATTCTTTTTGAAATATACCTTTTATTAAAGTATAACAAATAAACAGAGAAGTGCACAGTTGATAAATATCAACTGACAGTGACTGCAACAATGGACTCATACTAGTGTTTTTTTCAAAATCCAACTAATGAGAATCATAATCAGGTCTAAGGTTCTCTATAAGAACACTAGAGTCTTACAATGATCCATCTTACTTCTAGCTGTAGCTTGTCCAACTCAGATGATGTTAAAGGAAATTGCCTGAATTTCCCCTACTTTCTTTCCAGTGTACCACACTGTTCTCACAGAAAGGCTTTTTATCCTTGGTGAATTCATTCACATTCATTCACATTCATTCATTCATTCATTCATTCATTCAGCAATTTCTAATGTTCACTATACTTAAATTTCTCTAGATTTATTGAGCAAAAGCAAGATAGAAAAGATCACTCTGTAAGTCAATGACTTTAATATTCTATTACTGTTTCTTGTTTTAGTCTTATTTTATGATGGCCTCAATTAATAAAATTAGTAGCAGAGTAAAAAATAAACTATCTGTAATCAAACCTATTTAATATTGTGATGCTAAAACAAAAAGAACACTGACTATCAGGGAGACATTTCTAATATTTAAAAATATATTTAAAAGGAAATTATATGGCTGCATATCTGCATATTTGCTTAGAATTCTTGCAGTCCCAGTTTCAACTAAGCTAGGAAAATTTTGTGGAGGGATGTGGGTAGAAAATGGGCAATATCAATTGTGCAATTCACTAGCATGTTTGAAATGTTCTGCTTCCAAAAGCTTCAAAAATCACACATGATGCTGTGATCTTAAAAATTCCTTATTGATAATCACCTTCATGTTTAATGTAATAGTTTTCTGAATTTGTATACTCTAGTAGTCTTAAAGGTTTTGTGTATGATTGATTGACATTAGTTAAAATTATTACTTTTGCTTTAGCTTCTTTTAACTACAATTTGAGGTAGGTAGGCTCAGAACAACCTCATATATTTTTATAGGAGAAAGCAAGTTACTAATAAAAACAATGACATATAAGAAAACAATGAATTCTGGGAAATTTTACTGTAAGATCTTTGCAACAAACCTTAGTTTATTGTTAAAATTTATTTGTACACAGGCTAAGGAATATCTTACTGTATTACATGAAAATTTATAACCCATATGAGAATCTGGTTCAGCAAACACGGATTCTGTTTCTGGGCCCAATTGGAGTGGGAAAGTCAAGTTTTATTGACTCAGTGAAGTCTGTTTTCTGAGGTCATGTAATTAGCCATGCTGTAGTGGGCTTTGATACAAAGCAGGTGAGTGCATCCTGGGTCATCAAGCCTTTGTTCCTTTGCTCAATTAATTAAATTTGCTGATCAAATTTATTACATATAGACTTCATTCTAATTCATAAAATTTTAAATTGACTTTTAAAATTACCTTTTTCTCTTCTGTAGTTCAGGACATATGACATTAAGGATGGGATGGATGGAAACCCCTTACCATTTATTCTCTGTGATTCAATGGGACTGGGTGTGAAAGAGGAGGGGCTATGCATGGATGATATAGCCTACATGTTAAAAGATCACATTCCTGACAGATATGAGGTAGGATTTAGCTAATATTAAGAAGTTATCATTGATATTTAAAACTAACATTTTATTGTGAATTAAGTAAAGGTTTATAGAGTAGATCATCAGTTTTACATTCAACAATTCATACAGACATTCTTTCATCTCATTGATTACAAGTCCCTCAACATAACATGATTTGTCACATTTACTCCTTGTGTTTCTTGCATCTATTCCTCCTTCTTTCCTAATATTTCTGAACTTTGTCCTAGGGTAAATGCTACCCATTTAAAAAATCTTAAATGGTTGATTATTCTAAGTGTGCATACCTTACTAGTGTTATTGTTTCCTTTATGTCTGGTGTTTGACTGAAAATTTGACCATGGGGGTGTTATATTACATGAAAACGCATAACCCATATGGAGGTCTGGTTCACCAAACATGGATTCTGCTCATGAGTCCAATTAAATGTGGGAAGTCAAATTTTATTGATTCAATAAAGTCTGTTCTCTGAGGCAATATATTGAAGAGTGACTCAGGACCATAGTCTTAGGATTCCTTCCAATCTCTATCCAACCAATAAAACGTGTCTGTTTTTATGTTTTGAGATTTGCTACACATTTTTCTACCACTCTACCAAGGATCTTCTAATGTAATATATTTTAAAGCAATTGATAGTGGTAGCCAGACATTATTTCTTCTAATCTTAGGGTCATGGAGAGCAGTATACACAAAGTCGGTTAGTCCATTGGACTGATTGTTTTCATGTGTTTTAGATTTTCATCATTCTACTTTCCTCTGGACAGGAGTCTTTCAAATTGCTCATTTTTGTGTGGTCACCACAACATTAGACTTTGGTCTAGCTCAGATGCCTCAGCCATTTGTTTTCATGAACTACACTTGAGTTGCTGTGATTCTGAGGGCTATACCACCGGTGTTTTGGATAACCAGCAGGGTCAC